TGTGATATTGGAGACAAGCAAGCTAGTGGATTTGGATTCATCCATACTCATCTTTTTATTTTGGATCAATATGTACTCAATTACCAAAATATATACTTTGTATGTTTGTCACAACGTACTTAACTGGATTCAGACCATTGGCCCAGATAGGTGTGTCTGATTAACTTTAGGCCCACAAGCCCAAACCTAGCCAGGCCTAGGACTGAAATTTTGGAAATAATGGGTTTTAAATGTAATTTTGATTGACCAATTATATTGAGTGAATTTCCAACGATCTCACGTCAACTATGGTTGCTTGGTTTAATCTCAGCTTGGGGGTTGAGTTAATAAACGTTAGTCAGCTTATTCAGCCCTATTTTAAGCTAAGCTTGACAAATAAACAAGCTTTGAAATCTGATTGAGATTACACTCATTTATGTCGTATACAATATTTAATGAAGTTTCAGCTAAGTCACTCTCGAGTCAAACTTTAGCAATCATATTTGGTGAAGTAGAATAGAAAAGAAAGCATAACGTTACTAAACCAGAAAAGAGAAAAGAAAAGAAAAGAGAAGAAAAGATGGTGTCTATTTATTATGTTTAATTGGTTACTGAAGAAAGAAAATACTAATTTAGAGAAATAAAGGAATAAAAACTAATTTAATGAATTTACTTTTTCATAAACTTTGTCCTTCATAAATTATAAGGACAAATTTGATAGTAAAAAAGTTTTATTAAAAATACTTGCCTTCCATTTCCTCCCACTTTTGGGAGGATAACAAAACCAATTCATCAAATTTAATGTATCCCTCTAATTCCATCAATTCCCTTTTTTTTCCTTCCAAAATTTATATCAAACTCAAAAAAAATCATATTATCATTAGGGGTAGGATGGGACGTGTCAAATTATGAATAATTTTTCTCTAAATAATAGGGCTGCAACTTGGGCGAGTTAATCCAGCCCAACTCAAGTCCAATCCGAAATTTTAAAATTTGGACTTTAGACCTACAAATTGGGTTCATGTTCGGGTTGGGTTTTGTCAAAACTCAGACATATTCGGGTTGGGCTCGGGCTCAACCCGAAACCCATAATTTTATTTTATTTTTTTCCCTCTTCTTTCTCTCTCTGTGTTCTTTCTCTTTCTCTCTCCGCCGTCCCCTCTGCCGCCAACGCCGCCGCCGCTCATACATACAAGTTAGATAAAACTGAAATATATGGGTTTGAGAGTTGATAGACAGTGGCTGAAGCTTGAGAGTTGCACAGAGAGATAGATAAAACTAAAACAAAAGCCATACATACAAGTTAGCAGTTGCACAAAGAGAGGGGGGCAAGCTTGAGAGTTGAGAGACAGTGGCTGAAGCTTGCGAACGATGAACCCGAACTGGAACAGCGGGCGATGGAAACTGAAAGATCTGGGTTTTGATTTTTTGAACAATTTGAAATGATATGCCGATCTGGGTTTTGAACTTTTGATTCTTGCAGACAGATAGATAAAACGGAAATATATGGGTTTTGAACTTCTGATTCTTGTAGATTTTGTAGTTTGCAGTTGGAGAGAGAGAGAGAAAGAGAGAGGGCCAGTGCAGAGAGAATAGAGATGGAGGCGAGAGGGGCTGAAATGATTTGCCCTAAAATTGTAAGCATAAATATTTTGTTTATGGATATAAATCTATATATTTATATATACATATATATATATCTGCGTCCCCGGCCAATCTTCCTTATTTTGCTCGGGTGTCTATATATACACATATATATTCTTGTATATATATATATATATATATGAGATGCATATATCTGACAGAGTATAGCATTTATAGACTTTCTTCTGCTTTTATTTTTTTAAAAGCAAATATTTGCTCTCTTGGGTTTTGCAAATATAATTAAATATATATAATACATATAAAATAATATATATATATTTCCAAAAAAAAAAATAAAAAATAAAAAACTTAACCCTTCAACTAGACTCAACCCGTTCAAAAATATTCGGTCCGAATTATGACCATAACCCATGTTGAGTATAATTCGAATTGACCCAACCCAACTCGATTCGGGTTGAAGTTGAATTGGGACTGGACTGAGTTGGGCCAGCCCAAGTTGCAACCCTACAAAATGATATATGAGAGAGAGAGAGAGGTGGCAAGCATGGAAGGATTGGCCCAACTCCATTTTGTGCTTGGGCCTAACTCCATACCTCACCACCACCATCAACCCATATGCGGGGTTAAATTTCTGGACTAAGATACACAAGCCCACACAACTCACCAAGTTGTTGGGCCCAAAGGCAGTATAGCCCTTTGTCTTTGGTTACATGAAAGTGGAGGCTTTTGCTTTGCTTTCTTTTCCACACAATACTACTCCTGTGTTTTCAACTTTACTTGTCCAAAAAAAAATGTCTTGTTTTATAATTTAGTTTTCTAATAAATGTTTTTCAAGGATTGGTACGAAACAAGCTTTCACCTTTTTTTTATATTTTTCGTTGATTGATAAAACAAAACTAATTGTTTGAGTAAATTACTTTGTGATGTAAAAAGAGGAATAAAACTCTTTTGTGAATTGTGTGATGTAAGATAATAATTTAAGGCAGGATAATTGGGAGAAGTTTCCAACGAAATTGGTCGGTCCATTCAAAAACTAAGGTGATGATTATTGGGCTAATTGAAATGGTCATAGCAAGTTGGTTGCCACGTGTTGTGTTCAACAAAGAAAATAATGAGAATTGACAACCCTAATTTTCCATGATAAAAGTAAAGAAAGTGTCGTGAGTTCATACTCGCAAAAGAAGGTCGAACGGCCTTTAACAAAAGAATACTTGTATCCAAAACCAACACATGTGGATTGGTAGAGAATACTTAACAGTGCAACACAATTTTAAGAAACACGGCAAAATAGCCCCATAGAAATGGCAAAAAGATGTTTGCTCGACTCTCTTCAGGATGAAGACTAAATTTAAAGTTTTTGGCTAACAACATTATAAATTAAACAAGCAAAAATGTTCTTTTCTAATACGTGGCAAGTGTTTTTTAACAATAGGTACGAAACAAGCAATCACCTATTAATACTGGATTGATAAAACAAGAGTAGTGTTATTTTGCCTTACTTAAAAAAAATCTGACATATTATGACACCTAGGTGGATGTTATTATAGGGCTACTTTAAAATCTAAATATATCAATACAGCTATTAACAAAGATTGGACGATTATTTTCTCTCTCTACCAAATTAACCAAACAAAACAATAATGCATCTCTCCCCTATTCCGGCAACACCGCGGGTCTTCAATTTCACATCCTCTCTGTCGTAATAGTCGTGAAACTGCAATAACATTTCTTTTCTGACTGACCATGAACGTTTTGGGCAAACATCTTTTTAGCCTTTGAAGCTATTATTAGATCTGTAAATGCTTTGTAGCCTGGAGTTTGGGTAGCAGAGATTTCATATTTTGATGTAGAGAAAGAGAAAGTGAGATCGCTCAATTGAGAATGGAGTGAGAGAGTGAACAAGCAGATATGAGAAAGTTCGGAAGAATTGAAAAATTGTAGATGCAATGAATGAAGCCTAATCATGGTATTGGGTCTCCATTTGAAACCAACCTTCAAACTCGTTAATTTTTATGGAACTTTCAACTGTTCTCGCTTTTATTTTTCTTGGAGTGAAATTTTTTTTCAATTCTGTTTGTTTCAACAATGGTTTATAATCCAAAAATAAATAAAAAATTCCATTCGAGTCTTTTTAGTGAAAAAATAATTTTGTAAAGAGAAGAATTTTTGGCAAAAAAACAGAGGAAATATACAGCCTACAATAGAGAGAAAATGGCGAAAAAATCACACAGGAAAATGGTGAGGATTACAAAAGGATATTTTTGTCTAACAAAATGTAATGCATTTATGGAGACTTGATACTGCCAATAATATATTGCCAGGTTAATGTCCGTTTTCGGTATAAAATTGTTGTCAAAAATATCATTTTCATAAAACAAACCTAGTTTTTGAGAAACAAACCAAACCCTTGAACCATCATTAATTTTCCTGGTGCACAAATATATATATATATATTCTATGTAGTGCATAAATTTCATCACTCTTTAGCCAACAATGTTGCACAAAGCATGGGGAGGTGGCCAGTTGGGAGGCCGCCTTATAATTGAGTATTTATAAAACAGTACTGTTAACTAGGCAGATTTTTGTACGGGAGCCAGGTTCATTCCATCCTTGTCAGGTAAAAAATAATAATTAAAAATAATAATAAAAAACAGTTTTTGTACAATATTCTAACATTCAGTTCTCTTCAAAACAGAAAACAGTTGTCGGAAAACATAGCCAAGCAGGCCAATATATACGTTTGCTTCACTTCAGTAAACCCAAGACTTCAGTCAAAGACTATCAGAAGCAGTTGAGAAAGTGAAGGAAAAAAACAAGAGAAAATCATGGGAAAGAAAATATAATCACAATGAAAACAAAGCTTACAATCAATTCAACTGAAGGAAAACAGAAAACTAAGGCACCATTTGTTTAGAAATTAAGCCATCACAGCAGTTAAGAACATAGCAATTAACCATCCAATGATAATGGATTAAGTGCATCTAATGCGAAGAGGCCTGACACGCGAAGGTGAGGCTTTTCCGTAATGGGAATTCAGTGCCAATGTTACTGCTTCGTCTTCATATATCTCTATTGCTCGAGAGAGGGGTCCGATCAGTACGTGTGATGACTGAGGTGCATGTGTACAATGGATCCAGAGCAGGAAACAAGAAGGCCAAAATGGAAGGAGTACGCAATCATCATCTATATTACAAAACTACATAAGAAGCAAGAGTCTGAATGGTACTTCAACCATTATTACCCCTACCCAAAGCACCAACACTACCCCGACAGATGGCTCTATGGTGGATTCAGGTAGTTCTTGCAGAACAAATTGGCACGACAAGTCTTCAGAGATGCTGGAGTCTGTTGGGGTAGTGATGGTTGGTGCTTTGGGTAGGGTAATAAGGGTTGATGTACCATTCAGATTCTTGCTTCTTATGTAGTCTTGTAATATAGATGATGACTGAGTACTCCTTCCATTTTGGCCTTCTTGTTTCCTGCTCCTTCTCCTTGATTGCTGCTGTTACCAAAGAAGATCTGCATGAATCTCAATTCATCCTCATACATATGATTCATAAATGGCGAAGAGTCATCTACGGTGGATTCAGAGAGTTACTGCAGAGCAAATTGGCACAAGTCTTCTGAGATGCTCGAGTCTGTTGGGGTAGTGGTGGTGCTTTGGGTAGAGGTAATAATGGTTGAAGTACCATTCAGATTCTTGCTTCTTATAAAGTTCTCTTAGTGAAAGAGCAAACTGGCATGACATGTCTTCCGAGACGTTTGAGTCCGTCGGGGTAGTGGTGGTGGTGCTTTGGGTAGGGGTTCTAATGGACGCGGTACCAGTAAGACTGTAGCTTCTTATATAGTCTTGTAATATAGATGATGGAGTACCCCTTGCATTTTGCCCTTTGCTCCTCCTTGGATTCTGCCTCCTTTCCGTGGCATTCCAATGGTTCTTAATAGAATTTTCAATCCTGCAGGGAATTTGCTTACCAACTTCTGCCCATATGTTCCCAATCATCTCACGAGATTCAACTAATAGCCTCTCTTCTTCTTCATTCCAAGTATCTTTCTGACATAATTCACAAACAACAAGTGTGACATTGTGTTGCAAGATTTGCATGTAAACCATGCATTTATGTAGAAAATGAAAAAAGAAGGAATAAATAATACACCACAAGAACAGCTTTTCCATGGGAGTTAAAAAGGTGGAACCCTTAAGAACGACAATGGTAATTTAGGGGAAAAAGTTTCTAAAATCACAAGAAAGTGAACAGAGGAATGTAAACAGACATGATACCCCATGGTTTGCATTTCAAATGTGTACTGATATGGAACATACATAAGAACTACACACTTTTCATAAGCAAGTTTTTATAAGTAAACATATTTGACATGCAAACCATGTATAAATGAAATTAAAAAACACTTGATTTTTTTACCCAAAAAAAAGAGTTTTTGTTACTAAAGAAATAAAATTAAAAAATAACCTTGTATAAATGAAAATAATAATAATAATAATAAATCTCCATTGATATATGGTAAGTTTGAATTTGTCCAATTTGCTCTGTTGGGCTTATTACAGCTTTTCCATAGGAATAAAAAAGGTGGAACCCTTGAGAACAATAATGGTAATTTAAATAATGGTAATTTAGGGATTTTTTTTTTCTAAAATCACATGAACAGAGGGATGTAAACAGACATGATACCCCATGGTTTGCATTTCAAATGCGTACTAATATGGAAGTTTTTGTAAGTACACACATTTGACATGCAATCTCCACCTCTTACACCTCCACCCTCTTAACGATGGTCATCACCCCTCCCCTCTCAACCTCCTACCACCACCTCCCTTTCACCAACCACCATATATTTATAGACGCATATACCTTGGTAAGGCCCAATATATCTACACAAATACACTCGTGAATCAAAACATATATATAAATCACACATTGTTCTTCTTTGTTGAAAATCCTTAAATTTTTTTCAATTAGTTTTCATCACGTTGATTTATTTTGAGGGCTGATTAATATTCCAAAAACAAAACAGGCTATTTAAAGGAATGTGCAAATACTATGCCTCCAAATGTCAACGTTTCAAAGCACAAGATAGGTCCTGTGATTTCTATCACAGGAAGGGATCCGGATCCCTTGCTAAAATACATGAAAATTGCACAAATTAATCTGAACTAAATCCGAGTTCTTAGATACCCATTATAGATATCTTTTAGAAATCCAACAATCACATATTAGAAATGCCTGAATACATGATAATTGATTAGTTATGCAAATAGTAAAGTAAACGGAAATCGCAACAGAAGGATAAAAACAGAATTGAAGAAATCCAAAAGAAGAGCAATGTTAAAGAGAGAAAAACCTTGATATCAGATTATGCCACCACTCACGGCACTGTTTTCCGGCTCTATCAACCATCTTCTCAGCTATCTGAGCCCATTTCCTTATGCCGTATTGCTTCACCAATCTCACCAATTCTCTTCATATATAACAACAAAAATTATCAACATTTTTTTGTATCAACTTTAATTTAAAAGTACTCAAAAACAAGAATGAAGAAGAGAATTATACAAGTCTTCTGAGATGCTGGAGTCTGTTGGGGTAGTGGTGGTGCTTTGGGTAGAGGTAATAATGGTTGAAGTACCATTGAGATTCTTGTTTCTTATGTAGTCTTGTAATATAGATGATGATCGAGCACTCCTTCCATTTTGGCCTTCTTGTTTCCTGCTCCTCCTTGAATTCTGCCTCCTTTTTGTGGCATTCCAATGGTTCTTTATTGAATTCTCAGTCCTGCCAGGAATTCGCTTAGCAATTTCTGCCCATCTGTTTCCAATCATCTCACGAGATTCAACTAATAGCCTCTCTTCTTCTTCACTCCAAGTATCTTTCTGACATAATTCACAAACAACAACTGTGACATTGTGTTGCAAGATTTGCATGTAAACCATGCATTTATGTAGAAATGAAAAAAATAAAAATAAAAAAAAAATAATAATAATAATACAACACAAGAACAGCTTTTCCATAGCAATAAAAAAGTGGAACCCTTTAGAACAATAATGGTAATATCGGGGAAAAAGTTTCTAAAATCACATGAAAGTGAACAGAGGGATGTAAACACACATGATGCCGCAAGGTTTGCATTTCGAATGTGTGTACTGACATGGAACATAAGTGCTGGACACTTTTCATAAGGAAGTATTTACAAGTACACAAATTTGACATGCAAACCATGTATAAATGAAATTAAAAAATACTTGAAAAAGGTCTTACATATATATACATATATGTTTATATTTATATACAAACACACACACATATATCACTGGCTCTCTTCCTAACCCTCCAGATTTTTTCAGGGCCAAGTTCACTTCTTTCAAACCCACTTTAGGGTTTCCCTCATGCATATATATACAATTGAGAGCCACTGCATCATGTAAAAGTCCGTCTATGAAGCTCGTCTCAGGTAGACATGGCCACGAAACTCCACCTGCATAGCTACCAATTGCACCACTAAAAGAAGAAAAATCACAGAATCCATTTTCAGAAACAAGTGTTCCTTTATTCTTCACATCGTTCTGAGTTTGTTGGTGTGAGGATTGGTTATAAGCAGTCAAGAACCTGTCTATGGCTGTTAATGGAGGACTTGGTTTATAGGAACTAGGAAGGATGGATGTCTGGTAAATTCTCATACCCTAACCCACCACCTCGGCACCTCCTCCACCTTCCATGAAAGAGGACTTGAAGGAGACCGAAACAAGAAGAGAAAGGACTAATTTTTTTTCCGAAAATGGAAAAGTACTATTTTTTAAGCATACAAATTGCTTCAAAACTAGCTTTGATAGAGAAAAGGTCCCTTTACATTACCAAAGGGCATTTGGCCCAACGGTATAACCTCCCCATCCTCAAAGAGGAGGGGAGGGGTTCGAGCCCCGGCATGGCAAAAGGGTGTGGGTGTGTGTGTTTGCTTTACCATTTTTTTTTTATTTAAAAAAGGTCCTTTCTTCTTGAATTAATTATTACTTTTAATAAAATTCCATAAAGCCCAGTTTGTTTGAAGAAAGAAATGGAAGGAAAAGAAAATATAAAAATAAAAAAAGAAAAGAAAAGATAATGGACGGAAATAGTATCATTTTCTAGAAAAGAAAGGAAATGAATGGATTTGGAAGGATACAAATTAAGCATCATGGGTATTTTTGTTATTCTTTAAAAAATGTAAGGCAATGACATTAAAATTTAATGAAACTTTTTTAATACCAATTTTGCCCTTATTTTTATAAAGGACAAAATCAAAATACCAAATGAGTTCTAGATCTTTATACCATTTTTCCTTGTTTTTTTTTTTTTTTAAGAAATTTTTTATGGAAAAGTTAGATGGTTATGGAAAGTAATTTTCCTTAAATTTTCCCTTTTCCTACTAACCAAGTTTATAAAGTATTAAAAAAAAATCAATTTCCTTTCTTTTCTTGCAATTCCAATCTAACCAAAAGGAGCCTACTTCACACGTCTGCCTATTTGCAGGAAGGTTGCACCATGCAAGCGCTGAGGAGGACTCAGCGTGACGTTTGCATGGCATGAGTAGTGTTCTAAAGTCTTCCACATACACAATAGGACCAAAAACGAATGGAATACGAAAAACAATCTTCAGCAATCATAAACATGGAATAAAATAGATCAAAAGCATTGTTGTTCAACACTCAGAAAATTTTGCAGCAAAAACACATTTTAAAAATTCACAAAAATAGCATACAAACACAATTTGCATGAAACCAAAGCCGTTTGAAATATAACTGACCATACTTTAGTATAAGGAAATTATTTTTATAAATAGAGTCACAGATCAGGTCAATTTTAGAAGAAAGCAATGGAGAATTTCTGTTCTAAAACTCAGTTTTTTGCAGCAGATTTTTCCAAACTTCAAAAACTCACAACAAATTGAAATCTCAACGAATTTGAGTCAAATAAAATTCCACAAACTCATTTACCAGTGTAGTTTAATATCTCAAAATTTGAATACGAAAATAACAAGTACAAGTAAAATAGATTCAGCCCTAAACCCATGTCATTCAGTTCAAAAATTGAATTTTTTTTTACAACACTTGAATGCAATTCAAGGTCTAATGAGTAACAACCATTTTTCATGCTAAATAAACAAGTTGATAATCAGATCTCATAGCTTGCATGTGAGAGAACACGTTTGTAAAAATTTCTAGCATTTTAGCAATTTGAAACTAACGATTTACAGTTCAAGAAATTTAAAAGAGAAGGGAATACCTACAGCTTCGTTAGACTCCTTTTCTGCTTGCCTGTTCTGCTTTCCTTTTTCTTCTTCCCTTCCTCTCCCTCCCTCCTTCCTTTTCTTTCTCTTTCTGTGGCCGTGTCTTAAGCTCCCTTTGTCTTCTCAGTTAAACCTTTGCTTTATACTTCTTCTGTATCTCACATCAACTCCTCATATGAATTAATTTTGGTCAAAACGTGTCTTGGAAGCCTTTGAATTAACATAATCTGGATACATGTGTCGGTATATTTGCATGTAGACATAAGTGTTGGACACTATGTTTGTGTGACACATGTCGCCCATATATATATATATATATATATATATATATATATATATATATATATATTTAAGTTGATGACGCGTGTCCTCCTCTTTACCTATTTCTTTATTCTCTTCTCATATTCCAATACGTGTGTATATTATATATATATATATATATATATATATATATATATATATATATTTTGATAAGTAAATATATATTAATAAAAATGTTCAAAGGTGAGCGAACCCTTAACAAAACTAATAAAAGACGCATAAAGTGCCATTACAACGATAATCCAATATGTGTATATTATATATATATATATATCTGGAGTGAATGAAGCTTCCGAATATTATTATTATTATTTTCATTCTTAACCCTCAATTTGTTTTTCACTTTCTATATCAACTTCCCAATTTACTCTCATTTTAAATTCTTGGACTTTAATTCTGTCTTTACTTTCTACCACCATCAATTATTCTTCATTAATTTCACTCAATTTTCAATAGTTTGTCGCATCTCCTCTTAAAGAGTAAATATATTAACCCAACAACATACTAAATTTCCATCAAATGAAATTAGGATTATCCATTCAATATAGTGTGGCATGAATTGTAATGCCAAACCTGAATATTAATTTAAGTTAAATCAATTGTAAATTTCCTAATCTCAATAAGAATTTAATAAAATTCAGGATTTTTATTTTTTTTTTTTATTTTTTTTTTTTATTATTATAAAATTCAGGATATTACAGCAAACGAGTGCGGGTGTGTTTTTGTGTGTGAAGGTGGGTGATTAAGGGTGTAAAATGCCATTTTCTTTGGAAGGGGACGTGACACTGGAAGATGGGTGCCCAAGTGATGCATTATTGTGACTTACTTAGGGGAGGGAATTGGGCTAAATTTTCGGCACAAGTTTTAATTGCTTTGGATGCCTAGTAAATGTTTAATTGCCATTTGCAGAGCTACCTACACCATGACTGTTGTGCCCTCCAATTTCTTTTTGGGGCCTTTGGTTTGTTTACATGTGTGATTAGCTAGATTCTAACCTGTGCAATGACCAACTGACATTTGCAAGGCAAAGAAATTAAATATGCTAAAAATCCATAACTCCATTCGGATCTTATCAATATATAAGAGTTGGCAATGGCCTAGTGGCCCAAGTTGAATAGGTTATGACGGCAATAAGGTCGAGTACGGATGTACTACACAATCTGCTAGCAACAAAATGATATTAAAATCTATAAAATACTATGTGTGTTAAATAGTTTAATTGATTTAGATCATATGTTGCTAGATTTTCTCTAATCTTGCTTTTGTCCTCTTCCTAAATCTCTTAATCTGGTTCAGTAAGCTTTCACCTCGTTGGAGATGCTTATCAGAAATCAAGAAATGAATATCATTAAATAACAACTATATTTTTCACACCAATTAATAACGATTATTTATTTGGGGCAGTCTTATCTTAATAATTATGAAATAGCATTACTAGGTATCTTGTTGGTTCGCAACACTATTCTAATTTTTTATTTTTTTTGGACATAGAATTAGAGAGACTCGAACCCTCTTACCTCTCTCTTGGAAACATTATTCTAGTTCTTCACTTAATGTTTTTCCAAGTAAGAGTGCATAATTTACCTCACAACCTGCCTAAGTATGCATGAGTCGACTCTTTCAATAGGGCTTTTACCAATTATAATATTGCTAGGTATCAGTTCATGACTAAAAGCTCCGTGGATCTGCTGCTCAAACAACAAGCTATAATCAACTGAAAAAACAGGCATATACCATTTTGTACAAGGAAATCAACTTTTTGTTGCATGTGCTGACTAGCAAATTTGAGTTCACGATGCATCTGTGATTATATAACTTTGGGATCAATGTCAAATAAATTTCAGATAAGGTATGTCTTATAACATTTCTGCAACTAGACTTCAGGTCTACAAGCCCAAACCTAGCCAGACCTTTCATACCGGCCCTGTCTGCAGAACTCAGTACTACTGTTGTTCTTAGGCTAGCTCACCGAACATTATTTTACTTGTTGGACACACTCTAAACAGTATTGCCCATTATTCCAATATGTATGATAGCGAGGTTAAATTTTTATTTCTGATTCCATAATATTTTTCTTTAGGCTATGTTCGGTTGTATGGAATTGGTAGAATTAGAGAAAAGTTTAGTTCGTTCCATTTCTAAGGCTACAATTCAATGCAGCCAAACATAGACTTAAGAGGAAACCACTACCAAGAATTTGAATTAATTTCTGAACTTTATGCTAAACAGAGCATCTATTTCTAAATTCCTATGGCTACTTACACTTGACAATCCACAAAGCATCTGAGATATATCTTATCAAGAATAGGAGTTTTGTGGTCAGTTAAAATACCTCAAAGATGTACTTGGAGTTTGAGAAAGAAATAGAAGTTGATCAAAGCTCATCTCTCTGAAACTAAAGCGATCCATCTGCTCGACCACACTATTGCAAGAAAGAATGGGACCTGCCGGCGGAAGCTGGTCTACGACCGCTGCCAAGACCTCCAGACGGAGAGAATTGATGCCAGTAATCACTAATCAGGCATCTCCTGAGACTTGCCGGAGGATTTGCCATTCCAGTTAAACCCTAACGGCCATTAGAATTTTGATTTGAGAATCCCAATTCAATAAAATTAGGGATGGGCTCGGGCCTTAAATGTTGTATTTTGAGATGGGCAAGCTTAATCATTTCCTTTTGGATTAGCCTCTAATACCACCATTTGGGTTGAGATATGTACAAGCTTCTAAGCTTCTCTGTTTTGGGTTGGGTCCTTTTCTTGGCTCACAATGTACATATTACTAGCTATTATATGTACAAATTGCCTCAATTTCCAAAAAAAAATAAATAAATAAATAAATTCTATATACTGCATTAATTTCATCACTCTTTGGCTAACAATCTTGCACAAAGCATGTGGAGGTGGCCAGTTGGGAAGCCGTTGAGTATTTAGAAAACGTTATTGTTACCAAAGCAAATTTTTGTACGGGAGTCAAGTTCATCCCATCATTCCCCTCCATGTCAGGTTATAATAAAATAAAATAAAAATAAAAATAAAAAAAAGTTTTTGTACAATATTCTAATATTCAGTTATCTTCAAAACAGAAAACAGTTGTCCAAGCAGGCCTATATATTCCTTTACTTCAGTTTTCTACCCCAAAAAAAAAAAAAAAAAAATCAAAAGACTCCAGTCAAAGACTACCAGAAGCAGTTGAGAAAGTGAAGGAAAAAAACACAAGAGAAAATCATGGGAAAGAAAAATATAATCACAATGAAAAGAAAGCTTACAATCAATTCAACTGAAGAAAAACAGAAAAATAATGCATCATTTGTTTACAAATTAAGCCATCACAGCAGTCGAGAACATAGCAATTAACCATCCAATGATAATGGATTGAGTGCCATCTAATGCGAAGAGGCCTGACATGCGAAGGTCAGGCTTTTCTGTAATGGGAATTCAGTGCCAATGTTAATGCCTGTCTTCATATATCTCTATTGCTCGAGGGAGGGGTAAGGTCCGTACGTGTGATGACTGAGGTACATGTGTACAATGGATCCAGAGCAGGAAACAAGAAGGCCAAAATGGAAGGAGTACGCAATCATCATCTATATTACAAAACTAAATAAGAAGCAAGAGTCTGAATGGTACTTCAACCATTACTACCCCTACCAAAAGCACCACCACTACCCCGACAGACTCCAGCATCTCAGAAGACTTGTCGTGCCAAATTGCGCTATAAATAGCGAAGAGCTATCTATGGTGGATTCAGGTAGTTCTTGCAGAACAAATTGGCACCACAAGTCTTCAGAGATGCTGGAGTCTGTCGGGTAGTGGTGGTGCTTTGGGTAGGGTAATAACGGTTGATGTACCATTCAGATTCTTGCTTCTTATGTAGTCTTGTAATATTAGGACTCACACGAGCGAGAGTCCTGTGATTGACGTGAAGCTTGGAACATCCTAGGAATAGTCATTAGATTCGGGATTTGCCTCAACTTCAAGGGAAATCTTACTCCATTGATCGGGGAGGTATGAATACTCGTACATAGATGATGACTGAGAACTCCTTCCATTTTGGCCTTCTTGTTTCCTGCTCCTTCTCCTTGATTGCTGCTGTTACCAAAGAAAATCTGCATGAATCTCAATTCATCCTCATACATATGATCCATAAATGGCGAAGAGTCATCTATGGTGGATTCAGATAGTTATTGCAGAGCAAATTGGCACAACAAGACTTCTGAGATGCTCGAGTCTGTTGGGGTAGCGGTGGTGCTTTGGGTAGAGGTAATAATGGTTGAAGTACCATTCAGATTCTTGCTTCTTATATAGTTCTCTTAGTGAAAGAGCAAACTGGCATGACATGTCTTCCAAGACAGTTGAGTCCGTCAGGGTAGTGGTGGTGCTTTGGGTAGGGGTTCTAATGGATGTGGAACCAGTAAGACTCTAGCTTCTTATATAGTCTTGTAATATAGATGATTGAGTACCCCTTGCATTTTGGCCTTTGCTCCTTCTTGAATTCTGCCTCCTTTCCGTGGCATTCCAATGGTTCTTAATAGAATTTTCAGTCCTGCCAGGAATTTGCTTACCAACTTCTGCCCATCTGTTCCCAATCATCTCACGAGATTCAACTAATAGCCTCTCTTCTTCTTCTTCACTCCAAGTATCTTTCTGACATAAATCACAAACAACAAGTGTGACATTGTGTTGCAAGATTTAGGAACAATAATGGTAATTTCAGGGAAAAACTTAATAAAATCACATGAAAGTGAACAGAGGGATGTGAACACACAAGATGCCCCATGGTTTGCATTTCAAATGTTAGTACTGATATGGAACATAAGCGCTAGACACTTTTCATTAGGAAGTTTTTTTAAGTACACAAATTTGACATGCAAACCATGTATAAATGAAATTAAAAAATACTTGATTTTTTTACCCAAAATTTTTTTTTTTGTTTTTTTACTAAAGAAATAATAAAATAAAATAAAAAACTCTTATAAATGAAAATAATAGATAACCTTGGCACGACAAGTCTTCTGAGATGCTGGAGTCTGTTGGGGTAGTGGTGGTGCTTTGGGCAGAGGTAATAATGGTTGAAGTACCATTCAGATTCTTGCTTCATATGTAGTCTTGTAACATAGATGATGATTGAGCACTCCTATTTTGGTCTGCTTGTTTCCTGCTGCTCTTCCTTGAATTCTGCCTCCTTTTCGTGGCATTCCTATGGTTCTTGATTGAATTCTCAGTCCTCCTGGGAATTCGCTTAGCAATTTCTGCCCTTCTAATTCCAATCATCTCATGAGATTCAACTAATAGCCTCTCTTCTTTTTCACTGCAAGTATCTTTCTGACATAATTCACAAACAACGCGTGACATTGTGTTGCAAGATTTGCATGTAAACCATGCATTTATGTAGAAAATGAAAAAAGAAAAAGAGAGAATAAATAATAAATAATACAACACAAGAACAGCTTTTCCATGGGAATAAAAAAAGGTGGAACCTTTAGAACAATAATGGTAATTTTGGGGAAAAAGTTTCTAAAATCACATGAAAGCGAACAGAGGGATGTAAACACACATGATGCCCCATAGTTTGCATTTCAAATGTGTGTACTGATATGGTACATAAGCACTAGACACTTTTCATAAGAAATTTTTTATTAGTACACTCATTTGACATGCAAACCATGTATAAATGAAATTAAAAAATACTTGATTTTTTTACCCAAATTTTTACACAAATTAATCTGAACTAAATCTGAGTTCTTAGATACCCATTATAGATATCTTTTAGAAATCCAACAATCACATATTAGAAATGCCTGAATATCTGAAATAAAGATACTTGACTACTTGATGATTAGTTGTGCAACTAGTAAAGTAAACGGAAATGGCGAAAGAAAGATAAAAACAGCTCTACAGAAATCCAGAAGAAGAGCAATGTTAAAGAGAGAAAAACCTTGATATCAGATTATGCCACCGCTCAGGGCATTGTTTCCGGCTCTACCAACCATCCTCTCAGCTATCTGAGCTCATTTCCTTATGCCATATTCCTTCACCAATCTCACCAATTCTGTTCATATATAACAACAAAAATTATCAACTTTTTTGTATCAGCTTTAATTTAAAAGTACTCAAAAACAAGAATGAAGAAGATAAAAAATTGAAATACAAAATACACCCTGAGAAATGAAACCAAAAAAGAAAAAAGAAGTTGAAAAAAGGTCTTACATAAATAAATGTTTATATTTATATACAAACACACACATATATCACTGGCTCTCTTCCCTAACCCTCCAGACTTTTTCAGGACCAAGTTCACTTCTTTCAAACCCACTTTAGGGTTTCCCTCATGCATATATATACAATCGAGAGCCACTACATCAAGTAAAAGCCCATCTACGAAGCTTGTCTCGGGTAGACATGGCCACAAAACTCCACCAGCATAGCTACCAATTGCACCACTAAAAGAAGAAAAATCACAGAACCCATTTTCAGAAACAAGTGTTCCTTTATTCTTCACATCGTTCTGAGTTTGTTGCTGTGAGGAATGGTTATGAGCAGTCAAGAACCTGTCTATGGCTGTTAATGGAGTACTTGGTCTATGGGAAAAATGGATGTCTGGTAAATTCTCATATCCTAAGCCACCACCTCCTCCACCTTCCATGAAAGAGGACTTGAAGGAGACCGAAACAAGAAGAGAAAGGACTATTTTTTTTCCGAAAATGTAAAAGTATTATTTTTTAAGCAAACAAATTGCTTCAAAACTCGCTTTAATAGAGGAAAGGTCCTTTCACGTTACCAAAGGGCCTTTACCCCAATGGTATAACCTCCCCATCCTCAAAGAGGAGGGGAGGGGTTCGGGCTTGGGCAAAAGGATGTGTGGTTGCTTTACCATAAAATATATATATATATAAAATAAAAAATAAAAAATAAAGGTCTTTTCTTCTTCAATTAATTATTACTTGTAATAAAACTTCATAAAGTCCAGTTTGGTTGGAGAAAGAAATGGAAGGAAAAAAAAAAAGAAAAGAAAAGGTAATGGACGGAAATGGTATCGTTTTCTAGAAAAGAAAGGAAATTGATCGATTTGGAAGGATACAAATTAAGCATCATGAGTATTTTTGTTATTCTTTTAAAAATGTAAAGCAATGACATTAAAATTTAATGAAACTTTTTAAATACCAATTTTGCCCTTATTTTTATAATAGACAAAATCAAAATTCCATATGAGTTCTAGATCTTTATATTTGTCTTTTAAATGTGAAAGGGTGTAGTGGTAAATTCATTAAAATAGTTTCCTTTATTTTTTTTACAGTTCCGTTTGGTTAGATGAAAATTGAAAGTGGAAAGTGAAAGTAAAAGAAAGTGAAGTGAGTGAAAGGAAAATAAAATATTCATTGTGTATTTGTTTAGCATGAATTTTTTTCAAGAAAATTATGAAAAATTACCATTTCATGAAAACACCTATAGGTCATATGTTCTAAACAACCATCTATATGGGTGGAATGGGTGGAATGAAACTTATCATAAAAGATAAGGCACAATTGTAAGTTGATAAAACTTTATCGAGAAATCAAAATTTTCCTCTATTTTTTTTATAGAAAATTTTTATGGGAAAGTTGGTTGGTTATGGAAAGTAATTTTCCTCAAATTTTTCCTTTTCCTACTAACCAAGCTTATAAAAGTATTCAAAAAATTTCCATTTCCTTTCTTTTCTTGCAATTTCCATCTAACCAAACGGAGCCTACATGATTAAGTGTCAAGTGTTAAGTGTCACTCGTTTGCCTATTTGCAAGAAGGCCGCACCGTGCAAGCGACACGCAAGCACTTAGGAGGACTTTGCATGACGTTTGCACAGCATGAGTAGTGTTGTTCTAAAGTCTTCCACATACACCATAGGACAATACGAAGAACAATCTTCAGCAATCATAAACATGCTGTCATTCTTTCACTGCAATATCTGATCATCTTCAAGAAATTACTAAAAATCACATATATCATATTTCTGGACAACATAAAATTCTGGAGGAACTTTAGTATGCTTAATTTCATTTTTTCAAAATCTTATTCCCAAATTCTAACAATAAACATGGAATAAAATAAATCAAAAGCACTGTTGTTACAACACTCAGAAAATTTTGCAGCACAAGCATGTTGTCTCTAAAAATTCACCAAAAATAGCATACTAACTCAATTTGCATAAAACCAAAGCCAATTGAAATATAACTGACCATACTTTAGTACAAGGAAATTATTTTTATAAATAAAGTCACAGATAAGGTCTGTTTTAGAAGAAAACAATGGAGAATTTCTGTTCCAAAACTCAGTTTTTTGCAAAACAAATAACAAATTGAAATCTTGACGAATTTGAGTCAAATAAAATTCCACAAACTCATTTACCAGTGCAGTTTAATATCTCAAAATTTCAATAAAAAAATAACAAGTACAAGTAAGATAAATTCAGCCCTAAACCCATGTTTTTCAGTTCAGAAATTTTTTTTTTTCCAACACTTGAATGCAATTCAAGGTCTAATGAGGCAAGGCAACCATTTTTCATGCAAAAGAAACAAGTTGATAATCAGATCTGATAATCAGATCTCATAGCTTGCATGTGAGAGAAAACAACTTTGTAAAAATTTCTAGCATTTTAGCAATTTGAAACTAACAATTTACATTTCAAGAAATTTAAAAGAGAGAAGAAAACCTACAGCTTCGTTAGACTCCTTTTCTGCTTTCCTTTTTCTTCTTCCCTTCTTCTCCCTCTCTCCTTCCTTTTCTCTCTCTTTCTGTGGCCGTTTCTTAAGCTCTCTTTTTCTTCTTAGTTGCACCTTTGCTCTTCTTCTTTCAAGCATTCTTATACTTCTTCTGTATCTCACATCAACTTCTCATATGAATTAATTTTGGTCAAAACGTGTCTTCAAAGCCTTTAAATTAACATAATCTTGGATACATGTGTCGGTTTATTTGCATGTAGACATAAGTGTTGGACACCATGTTTGTGTGACACATGTCACCTATATTTTAAGTTGATGACGCGTGTCCTCCTTTACCTTTTTCTTTATTCTCTTCTCATATTCCAATATGTGTGTGTGTGTATATATATGGAGTGAACGAAGCTTCCGAATATTATTATTATTTTCATTCTAAACCCTCAATTTGTTTTTCACTTCCTATATCAACCGCCCAATTTCCTCTGATTTAAAATTTTTGGACTTTAATTCTATCTTTACTTTCTACCGCCATCAATTATTCTTCATTAATTTCACTCAATTTTCAATAGTTTGTCCAGTCTCCTCCTCAAGAGTAAATATATTAACCCAACAACATACTAAATTTCCATCAAATGAAATTAGGATTATCCATTCAAAATATTGTGGCATGAATTGTAATGCCAAACCCGAATATTAATTTAAGTTAAATCAATTGTCAATTTCCTAATCCAATATAAGAATTTAATGAAATTCAGGATATTACAACAAACGAGTGCAGGTGTGTTTTTGTGTGTGAAAGTGGGTGATTAAGGGTGTAAGATGCCATTTTCTTTAGAATGGGAGGTGACAATGGAAGATGGGTGCCCAAGTGATGCATTTTTGTTACTTACTTAGGGGAGGGAATTGGGCTAAATTTTCGGCACAAGTTTTAATTGCTTTGGATGCCTAGTAAACAATTAATTACCATTTGCAGAGCTAGCTACACCATGACTGTTGTGCCCTCCAATTTCTTTTCGGGGCCTTTGGTTTGTTTACATGTTTGATTAGCTAGATTCTAACCCATGAAATGACCAACTGACATTTGCAAGGCAAAGAAATTAACCATGCTAAAAATCCGTAACTCCATTTGGATCTTATCAATATATAAGAGTTGGCAATGGCCAAGCGGCCCAAGTTGAATAGGTTATGACTGCAATCAGATCGAGTATGTATGTACTACACAATCTGCTAGCAACAAATGATATTAAAATCTATAAAATACCATATATGTTGGATAGGTTAATTGATTTAGCTCATTTGTTACCAGATTTTCTTTAATCTCACACTTGTCCTCTTCCTAAACCTCTTAATCTGGTCGTGAGCTTTCATCTCATTGGAGATGCTTATCGGAAATAAAAAAATGAATATCATTAAGTAACGGCTATATTAATAACAATTATTTATTTGGGCTGGTCTTATCTTAATAATTATGAAATAGCATTACTAGGTATCTTTTTTTTGATAAGTTTTACTAGGTATCTTTTTGGTTGGCAACACTATTATCATTTAAATTTTTTTTTTTTTTTTTTGGACATAGAATTAGAGAGACTCGAACCCTCTCACTTGGAAACACTATTCTAATTTTTCACTTAATGTTTTTCCAAGCAAGAGTGCATAATTTACCTCACAACCTGACTATGTATGCATAAGTCGACTCTTTCAATAGGGTTTTTACCAATTATAATATTGCTAGGTATCAGTTCAGGACTAATAGCTGCATCTGCTGGTCAAACAACAAGCTATAATCAACTGAAAAACAGGCATATTCTAGGAAACCAACTTTTAGTTGCAAGTGTTGACTAGCAAATTTGAGTTCACAATGCATCTGATTGTGTAGCTTTGGGATCAATGTCAAATAAATTTCAGATTAGGTGTGTCTTATAACATTTCTGCAACTGAACTTCAAGTCTACAAGCCCAAACCTAGCCTGGCCTTTCATACTGACCCTATCTGTGGGATTCAGTACTACCGTTGCTCTTAGGCTAGCTCACCAATCATTATTACTTAATACTTGTATCATAATAGCATATGTGTGTTCGGAACACATTGTTTACAATATTGCCCATTATTCCAAATTTCCAATATGTATGATACCGATGTTAATTTTTAATTTCTGATTCCATAATAATTTACTTTAAGCTATATTCGGCTGCATCGAAGTGGCGGTTTGAAATTAAAATTGGTGAAACTGGAGAAAAGCAACCCAGAAAATTAAACCAAAATATATCCAATTCCATGCTCCCGAACATAGATTTAGAGAAAATCACTACCAAGCACTTGAATTAATTTCTGACCTTTAGGCTCTGAACAGAGCATCTATTTCTATATTCCTATGGCTCCTTACACTGACAATCCACAAAGTATCTGACCAAAATGTATATACACATATCTTATCAAGAATAGGAGTTTTTGTGGTCAGTTAAAATACCTCAAAGATGCACTTGGAGTTAGAGAAAGATGTGCAGAAATTGATCAAAGCTTATCTCTCTGAAACTAAAGCGATCCATCTGCTCCACCACACTATTGCAAGAATGGGACCTTCCGGCGGCATATTGTCTCCGACCGCTGCCAATACGTCCTGACAGAGAGGGAGAATTGATGCCTGTAATGAGGCATCTCCTGAGAGTCACCGGAGGATTTGCCATTCCAGTTAAACCCTAACTGCCGTTAGAATTTTGATTTCAGAGTCGCAATTCAATTGGGGATGGGTTTGGGTTTGGGCCCTATACGATACTTTGAGATGGGTTAGCTTTGGTTGAAGACCAAGCTTAATCGATTGGGTTCTAATACCTCAATTTGGGTTGGGCAATGTACAAGCTGCTAAGCTTCTCTGTTTTGGGTTGGGTCCTTTGCTTGGCCCACAATGTACAAAGAAAAAAAAAATTAGATAGAAGAAAGAGAAGAAGCGATGGATGTGATATCCTTAGAGAAGAAATTGTGTCATTCTCTCTTTTTGTTCGGTTGGATGGAAGATAAGAGAAGAAGCTCACAATTTAAGGAAATTTTAATTTAGGATAATAATAATTTAATGTGTTTACAAAATTTAGAATGAATAGTAATTTAAAACTTGTATTATAGCCCCTACATGTTTTTCCTCATTTCTTTCGCTCATATTTGGAGGGATAAAAATTTATAAAGGAAGAGGGATCACTCACCCCTCTGATTATCCTTTCTCTCAATGTCTCCTCTCTATTAAACGAAGAAAATTTATCCTTCCTTCGTACCTTCCTTCCACACCTCTTCCTTCTTTCCTATTGAACAAGAGCATTATACATACAAATTGCCTCAATATTATATATATATATATATATATATATATATATATATATATATATATATATATATATTCTTAGTTGGGTGATAGGCGTGTATTTATGAACTTGTCATTGTCAAATACACTCCATATCAAGATAAAATGCCTACAACCACTTAACTAAAAATGTCTAATGATAAGTAGAGTCGAACCACGCATTCAAGTGAGTTTTTGTTTCCGGACAAGGGTTTTAAAAATATTGATTTTGGAGTTTGTTACTAACTAGAAATGAATATTGGAAAACAAATATTTAAAACAATATTAGAATAAGAAAATTCAAGTTTATAAATTGAGAGCAAGAAAATGATGAGTAATATGACAACAATGCATTAATTGAGAAGAAAATTACAATTAGAACAAGCAAGAAAACTCTCTATGAGTCTATTCTATCTATCTTAATCTTTACACCCTTTTGAATGCTCTAGAGTCGACTATTTATAGCCAAAATTGTGTATCCACAATTGTTGCCTTCTAATCAATATTAACTTCTCTGATTTCTTTCTTCCTTCACGCCACCTCGCTACACCTAACTCTGACCACTGACCGCTTCTATATCAACCTATTCTGTATCAACCACTTCTATATCTACTTGACCTTTTCTTCCTTCTTTTGTTGACTTTTCTTTTCCTTTTTTTCTTTTCTTTTCTTCTTTCTCTCTCCTCATTTCTCTTCTTCACGTGCACATCATTTCATTTCTCTTGCTAACTTTTGTTTTTTTTTTTTCTTCTTTTTTTTCTTTTCTTCTTATTCATACATTAACACCTATAAAACACAAAACGAGCATATAAGAATGTTTAAATAATATAAAAGTCTAATTAAAAGCTTATTTTGGTGCATGAAATAATAGGTTTTGTATACTTATCAAACTACCCCAAATAAGCTTTTGCTAGTCCTCTAGTAAAGAAAGGCAAAAATAGATAAGTTCACAAAAAATATTACTTTTATTAACAAAAAGATGTGCCACTTTCGCAGGCTACTTTCAATTGCATTTACCATATGCAATAAGGCCTTAAACCCCTAGGTTACCCCTAGTGGACGAGTTATAGCCTCGTGAGGGTTTCCAGTGAAGGTACCCACAAACTTCTAAAGAATTTTCCTGCATATCTACAAAATGAAAAGTTTCAGAGATGAAAATATCAAGTTCTTTATATACAAAGAGCTACTAAGGTATTATAAAAACAAATATTTTAATAAAGTTCATCCATAAACAACCTAGAAGTAAAGAGTGTGTGCGTACGAAGTCGACAAAAATCAATTTTCAAATCCAAGTGATGAAATTCCTAAGTCTTTAGAAAACTATGTTTTGACTTCAAATCTCACAGTAAATATCTCTCTAAAAGAACATCTCTCAAGGATTTGGCTAACTGTATTTCTCAAATGTATGTGAGTAGGAACTCTGTTTTCAAAGTAAAATCAAGTTCACATACTAATTATTTGAAGGACCGATACATATAATAGAAGAGTCTCATGACAGGAATGTTGATCACTTTTGAGAGAATGTCGAGTCACCCACCATAACGCCTTCTCATTTATTATGCATTATCATACCTTTTCTAAAAACATTATTGAGCTCAATTTGTACATAAATGTTTCTGAAAATGAGGGGTTTTCAAAATACTTGAAAGGGACACTTTACTCCTCTTCTTCTTCTTCTTATTTTATTTTATTTTTTTTTCATTTCATTTTCTTTTTTTTTGAAGAGGATATGAATGACTTCTTGAGTTCTTGATCCCTTGTATTTTACACACAGTCATCCCTAACATTTCTCAGAACAATAACAAGATTACAAAAGGTGATAAAGGTATGATAGTACATTGTGTTTCTCTTAACTCGATGTGATTTCATTCTCAATGATCTACCAAGATGAAGGATTATGAGACTAACAACAAATTTTTATCGCTATCCAAGAAATTTGAGCCATCTTGTGACTCAGAGTTAGCGTAAAGCTCTCTAAAAAGATGAAAGACACGAAAACTCACATGGTATTAGGTCTCAAGTAATAGATTTCTAGATTCTTGGAAGATTATTCACTTCTTTCTTTTAAGCTACGACTTTGTGCAAAAATATTTCTACTTCTAAATTCTCATAGTGTAATGTCTATCATTATATCACCTTAGTAACAAGCTCAATCTCAATTTAGAGTAATGACATATTTTAAATTTCACAAAGTCAAAAAACAGGATTTTTTTTTTTTTTTTTTTTTTTGAAAAGATTTTCAAAAGATGTACATGTTTTGATAAATCTGTCTTACCCCCAAACAAAATAAAACACTGTCCCTAGTGTTTGAAAAACATAACACTGAAAAGTGGTGAATGAAATGGAATATGTACCGCTGGAGAAAAAGAAAAATTAAAACGAATTACCTCAATTGATTTGGTGTTCTTAAAGTACAATCCCTGCAGATAATCATTGCAAAAGAGAGACCGAGTGTTCTGAAATTATGACAGATTGTACCCCCAAACAAAATATAAGCATAGCTAAAGAAATAGAAACAAGGAACTGGGTTGCCTCCCAAGAGTACTAAGTTGAACGTCTTTAGCCAGACACAAGAGGGGTAGTACCCCTAGAGAGATCAATCTGAATAGACAGGATCGATGAGGAGAATTTCCTCAATTTCATGAGACTCAAGCTCAATAACTTTAAGCGATGAGCAGTAACTTTAAACAATTCCCCAGTCGTGGGGTCTTGTACCTCAATTGTACCATGACTTGCCACATGTTTGACAAAGTATGGGCCGAACCAACATGACCATAACTTCTCGGGAAATAATTGAAGACGAAAGTTATACTAAAGAACCTTTTGTCCAGGGGAAAAATCCTTTTAGAGAATATGCTTGTCATGTTCCAACTTTGTTTTGGCTTTATACATTTTGGAACTCTCATAGGCATTATTTCGAATTTCTTCTAACTCATCAAGTTGGAGTTTCCTATGTTCACTGGCTTTATCAGAGTCAAAATTCATAGCCTTAATGGACCAAGAAGCACGGTGTTCCAGCTCTACAGGTAAATGATAGGCTTTACTATAAACCAAACGGTATGGGGACATTCCTATAGGGGTCTTGTAAGTAATCCGGTATGCCAACAAAGCATCCTGAAGCCAGAGGGTCCAGTCTTTCCGTGTTGGACTAACTGTTTTTTCTAGTATTTGCTTGATTTCCCTATTGGATACCTGTGATACCCACGGATTTCTGGATGCGGGTTGGCCAGGCCCACGCCCGATAACCCGAGGATATCAAATCAATTAGTAATAATCGAACACAGAATACAAATAAGAATAAAGAAGAATAAATAAAATGCTGAAAAGAAACTAGAATCATAATCCAAAAACCTCATAATAAAATTTAATTAACAAAGAATGATTCTGATACATCATACTTCTCCATTTCTATTACAACTCTGGAATCCATCTAGTGGACCCCTAAAATATCTCACTGAACTCAAAAGATTGGAAATGAAACCCAAGTCTAAAATATGAAATAAAACCCTGGTCATCGGTGGAGTGAATAACTGTATCTGCTCAGCACGATCCAGCTCCAAGTCTGGAACTAACAAACACCTGTAAAAATAATAGTGGGTCAGGCCCACATGCAAATTCTTCTCTAACTACAATCCAAACAGTGACTCGATACGCAGATACACCCTAGATATCTCAACAATAGTTATCTAGTCCATACATATAGATATATACACACTAAGGGACATTCACTGGACTACAATAGGGGTCTCAACCTGAATAGAAGGCAACATGCGAAAACGCACCCAAAGGTGGGCATGAGTACCTAGACCTAACAGGGTACACCTCAACCTACTATAGCCAGCTACGCATCCACTGCATATACGCACCCTAACCAACGAGTCTGAGGTTCAAGCTCATCTCGTGGTACCATAAACATATATATAAAGTCCGTCCCAAAACCAGGGTATGTAGTTCAAATATTTATTGAACTGACATACAATAAATAAGCTAGTTAGTCTATCAACTTATTCAGTTGATATGACTTAATTATCATCCATTAATCCAGGAAGCCACTCAACTTAGTTGCAGTTGATTTGACTTAACACAATTAGGATTCAATATTTTTAAATCCATTCCTTTAATCCATTAGGTTAGGTCTAGGCGTTTTGAGCTAAACCGTCCCCTAGTATGTCACCGTCCCATACCGGTGCATACATTCCTCCATATCCATGTAATTAACAGAATATATTTATTCAGCAATTTAAATCCAAAACCATGTACAAATTACAGACTATCAATAACAGTACGGCAATTTAATAACAAAAACCAAAAGCCAGGTAATTGCAGAATAGTTTATACAACACTACAGTAATTACAGTTCAAAACCATAATCCAATTACTTGTATGATAA